TGGAGGGGGGACGTAGCGGGGTGCTACTTCCCTCCTCGCCTAACGAGGGGGGAATACGAGGACGCCCTGGAGTCTCTGGGGGAGCACATCAGGCGACGCTCCCCCAGGCCTGTATTGGTGGGTGGGGATTTCAATGCCCATGCGTTGGAGTGAAGTTCCCCATCCGACTCCAGGGGCGACAGCACCCTGCTGTGGGCGGCGAGGCACGGCCGAGAGCACCCTGCTGGGGGCGGCGAGGCACGGCCTAGTCTTACTGAATAGGGGCCGTGCCAGCACCTTCGTGGGGGCCCGGGGGGAGTCCATCGTCGATCTGACGTGGGCGACCCCCGCGGCGGCCGCCAAGATCCGAGGATGGCGTGGACGCCGGCTCCCTAGGAGAATTGACGGATCACCGCCTGATCCGTATGGAACTGGTGTCCAACCCCGCGAAGGTGTCACGAAGACGCCGCCAACAAGAGACGGAACGTCGATGGGCCCTCCGAAAGATGGACCCCGGACGCCTCGAGGTGAGCCTCCTTTCCTCCACCTGGCCAGAACGTAACCCGGCCTGCACGGTGGAGGAGGAGGCCGAATGGCTCGGAGACGCCATGTCGCGCGCGTGCGACGCGTCGATGCCCCGCTGCTGTCCCGCGGCGAAATGGGCAGCCTACTGGTGGTCCGAGGAGTTAGATGAGCTACGAAGGGCCACCGTGGCTATCAGACGAACGTATACTCGCCGCAGGCGGCGGGGTACAGACGCCCGCGGGGGCGCTCCGAGACTCAAGGAGCGCCCTCAGGGCGGCCATAAGAAAAGCGAAAGCCGACGCATGGCGGGAGCTGCTCTCCTCCCTGGACAGGGACCCGTGGGGGAGGCCCTACAAGATAGTGACGAAGATGCTTCGTCCGTGGGCCCCCCCGATAACGGAAACTCTGAACACTCAGTTCCTAGAGGATGTAGTGGCCGGTCTCTTTCCCACGAGGGAAAAGGATATCCCCGAGAGGACAGGCCCACCGTCCAGATGGATGGATGAACTGAGCGTCACCGGGGGGGAGATGGGGAGGGCATTCGCCCGGCTGAG